TAGGGGGGGAGGATGAGTAAAGTTGGGAACTGTTTGGACTGTCCAAGGTAGGGGGGGGCGAAAGGGTGGAGGGAACTGGAGAACGTGCAGGGCAGAAGAGACAGGAACCTGGGAGGTGGCAGAAGAGGAAGAAAACTTGGGAGGGAAACAGGGGAGGAAGGTACATTACGAGGAGGAGGGTGAACCTCTGCACTTGTAACTGAGCCAGTGAGAGGGGAAGAACTAGGACAGAGACAGGGAGGGTAAAATGAGGAGGTGGAAGATGGGTAGGAGGTGTTACCGACCTTTTTTTGACTTTTGAGAAGTAGAGGGACGATTGGGAAGAGGTGTCGTACGAGGTCTCGTCGATACTGAGGCTTGTAAGAGAGAACTCGAAGAAGCGAGATTAGACTGAGGCGTTGAAGTAGGGACGTCTGAGCCGAGGACAGCAAAAGATTAGATACAGGAGTGATTATGGGAGAGTAACCACAGGGTGGGTGTAGAAGATGGGATACAGAAGTGGGGGGACGTTTTGAAACACGGGAATAAGAAACACGTGGGAGTCTCCCTTGGAGGCGGAGATGAGAAACTGCCATGGCATAAGGGAGACCTTCTGTCTCTTTGAGGTAACGGATTTCCCGCTCGTTTAAAATAGACCTGACAACGGCGAGAGTACGAAGGGTGAGCTCATGACAGTTAAGGCAAGAGGGGATCGATTGCAAGACGTATTAGAATGGTCATCGCACCACAGACTGGGCATTCGGCGATAGATCTGCAATATTTGCGCTGGATGGCCAAATCGCCAGCAATTTCTACACTGTTGTGGTGTAGGGATCACCTTTCGAACTTGTAACCGATGTCCTGCTATATAAACGGAGGATGGGAGTTCTCGGCTGTCAAAAGTTAAACGAGCCACATTGCTAGGGTATCGTCTTCCGCCCACGGGCAGGAAGAACGTAAGTGTCTACCTTGAGGATTGGAGATCTTGGAGTTCCAGCTGTTCTAGAATGTCGTGCCACATGTCTGGAAATTTTGTTGAACTATGGTATGGGGCAGAATAACGGTACCACTACAAGAATTGAGGGAATGATGTTTTTCAAGGGTGACAGGAAACAGTATCTATATGGGAAAGACGAGAGAGCTCACGACTGGGTAGCATTCTGTACGGTAATGATGCGCGTACCGCTCTTAAGAGCATGAAAAGAAATATCTTTACCAACATGGCGTAGGAGTGCCTTGCCAATCTATGGTCAGAAAGATAGGCAGTAGAGGAAGTTGGTCGTAAAGTGAAGAATTTAGTCCACTGTTCAGTCTGAAACTGAGCGTGGAAAGGTAGTGGAAGGACGTGTCGATCGTTTCTGAGAAGAACGAGAAGGTGAAGGTGGAGAAGTATCATCAGCAGGTAATTGTCGTTGACGTTTAGGCGTGGGACCAGAGTTGGTCCGACGTGGAACGGGTCGGCGATTTGAAAATTGCCGCACCGTAGAGGGAGAGGCCGGAAGCATAGTCAGAGGAGAGCGAAGGTCTGATAAATCGAGGAGTCAGTCGAGGCCTCAGTACCTGAAGCGGGTGAGGAAACAGCACACCGGCAATAGGTACAGAGGCATGAGAATGTCTGAAGAGTGGTCCAAAGACGAGGCGGGGTCAGAACGGGTGCGGTATCAAGAAGGGGCCCGGGGGTACCAGGTTCATGGACTAGGGCTGCCATGGTTAGGTTACTTCTTTCTTTTTGTTTTTAAAGAAAAAAAAAGAAAGAAGAAAAGAAAATAAAAAAAAAAAAAAGAAAAAAAAGGGGGGACCGGGGAGGGATAGTTCCTAGAGGAATGAAAGGGCCAGAAATCTCCTCCGCGCCCAAAGGACTCGACACCGCTAGAAAGCGCAGATGCAGCATGGAACCCTGGCCATACCCTACCCTTCATCCCTAGAAAAACCAGCAATCTGGATAGCAACCTCACATCTGCCGAGCTACCTCGGTGGACAAAAGAGAGGGCGGCCCGGGATATCCCCACAAAGCATACCTCCTTCAGCCACCACCCCCGGGAAACCGAAAGGTGGCTTCCAGAGATACACCCTCGCCCAAAAGACACCCAAAGCTACTCCGGGATACCGGAGAGGGATCGGGACAATCCCTAGGCAATCCAGATTCCACGGCAAACTACGCCACCCCCGCCAAGAAACCTCAACGGAATGGGATGGACCCCGGTGTCCTTTCCCTACCTAGGAACTAGCGCGCCTTGGGGGGAAATCACAAAAGGCAAAAAGAGGAAGGGCAAAAGGGAGGGGTGAGGAGGAGGAGGAGGAATGGAAAAAGGGGGGATGGGGAGGATGGATAGGGGAGGGGAGAATGGGGGGTAATTTTGGTTCGGTCTGAGGAAGAAGACCGACAGAGGGCTAATTCCTCAGACCAAGAGCCTCTTCACCACGCCAAGGAGCCCCCCTTGGAGGTGGGGGGAGGAGAAAACCCATGTGAAGCATGGACCCCCCCTTGGGATAAAATACAGGAAAGGGGTGGTAAATAAAAAGAAAGGAAATCTGGGTAAAAATTGAGAAGAAGAATTTAAAAAAACATATTGTAAAAATTAAACAAGGGAAAAGCTGCAGTGTAATCACGAGGTTACTATTAATTATTTAAAAAATCAAAAAGAAGCGCTAAGCCACAAGGGCTATACACGCTGCAGGTAAAGAAAGGAACAAGGGAATTGGTGCAGAAGGGAGGGGAGGGAATCACGGGTTACGAAAACAGCGGGGCAGGGATAGTACGGGGTAGAGGGTACAAGAGATAAAAGAAAAAGGGGCTAAAAAGTATCAGAATTTGTAAAGGGAATCAGTCGTTGTCAAAAAGTCATGAAACCCCCGGATGAAAGGGGGGTTCCATCACAAAAGGGGAAAAGTAAAGAAAGAGCAGCGGGCGGGGAACGACGACAGAGGAAAAATTTCTGCGTGCCGTTGAAAAAAGGGGGCAGCCAACAGAAGTGGCTGACTGTTTAAAGAGCTTGGCAATTCTCACAGAAGGAGCAAAACGCCTCCCCCCAAGAGAATCCATGATAAGACGATTAGGGCCCAATGCGAAAGGGGAAAGAGAGTAGTCCCCAAAAACCCGAAAAACGGGTGATAAGAAGAACGGCCATTAACCTAAAAACTCCGGTTTAAAAGACTAAAGTTTTTTTGCCGAGCATAGTAGCCCCAACTTTTGTTGCCAACGGGTGTGAAGGTGGGAAATATTACAGCAAAATAGTCCGTAAAAGGAATACCTCTATAAGAAACGTAGGTCATGTACTGCGACCGCGCAGCAGTGCCTCCCCTTTTCTTTGGGCCCTGTACGTCAACAGACCAGGGCCCCAAACCCAAAAAACAAATCTTTATGCTTAGTAAAGATGGGGGCGTACCAAAGTTGGATACGGGGACTAAGGGGTGAGGTGTATAAAATTTTTTTGTATACCCCTGTAAAGCACAAAGGGGAGCCCTGAGACAACCACAATGATACACGGCATAGATGCAAAAGGGGTAAGTGCTGAAAGGGAAGGCATATAATCAGCAGAAAAAATTACTAGCTAAAAGATAGAAAAACCCCTTGACGACGCTGCCCGGGAAACACTGCGCAAAACCTACCCGTCCAAAGACTTAGAGCCATCTGTGAAACACAGCAAGGGCATGAGAAGGGAGAGTGAAAGTGGTCAAGAAAAAGAGGGGAAGCGACCGTAGACATTGGGGCTTTCGAGCAAGGGAGGGAGAAAGAACAGTTTTTGAACCCGGGGAATTTCCCCCCGGGGGGGTAGGGAAAATTGAGATGCTACAGGGAAACATAAAAAATTTGGTATTGAAGAGAAAAAAAAAGCGAATAAAGGGCGAAGAGAAAGGGGAAAACGGAGTAAGAAAGGGGCGGCGAACAAATAAAAAAAGTCTACTAATACAGTACCATTCATAAAAGGGGAAGGATTGCGGAGATCATGAGAGCGTACATATTACGCGGGAAAAGGGGCATCAGGGGCGATCGGCCCAAGGGAGGGAACGTTCCTTCTGCTAGGGGCCCCTTTCGACAGGGGAAGGCAAAAGCCCCAAAGGGCATAAACGTAACCCTTTGGTGATAAAAGGGGTTAAAGGGCTAAGAGAGTAGCAGGAAATTGCCGCGGGAATAGATCTGGTCCCATAATCAAGTTTCGATAAAAAAAGGGGTGGAATGTAGGTGAAGGGGGGTTTCAAACGATCAGCCCCCCACGAAAGATGAAGCAAGGGTTTTAAAAAGGGTTTTTAAACCCGGCTGTGAAAAATTGCCTTCAAGAGGTAATTGGGTTTTCCAGGAAAACCAAACGATAAAAAGAGGAGGCCCAAAATTTGACGGAAATCACGTTCGGGGGATACGTGGGGCCATAGAGGTACAAAGGATAAACAAAAATGACAGAGCGTCTGTGAAATTAAATTTGGGGGGGTTTTATTTGGCGGGAAAAATTTTAAACCCATGTGTGGGGGCCCCAATTGGAAACAGGGTCAAAACCCCATGCGGGAGAGAAATTTAAAAGGATTTGACAGTCAGCGCCGAAACGGGAAATAGCAAAAGCCCATCAACATAGAGTGATAAACCAAATATTGATGGAAATTTGGGGCCCAAAAACCCATTAATAGCAAGGAGAAAAAGTGTTGGGCCCAAACACACCCCTGGGGAAAACCTTCACTTGGAAAAAGCCCGGGGAAAAGCACATTTTTAAAAACCCGAACCCCGGAAAAATCCCCTGTCATTTTAAAAAGTTTTAAGGAAGGATGGTGGGTTTGCCTCGAAGGCCAAAGGGAGTGGACTTGGGGCCCTAAAATATTAAACCTCCAATTGTGTCATATGCCTTCTCGGGTAAAAAAAATATGGCAATAACTGAGGGGTTTTTAATTCGAAAAAGGCTTTACGAACAAAACGTATCCAAGCGCAAAAGGGGGCTAGGGTAAACTTTCCCTTTAAACGAAAGCCAAAATTGCCCAAGGGGAAAAGACTGTTGTGGGGTCCAAAAAATACCACACAAAAACCTATTTACTAACGCCCCATTACTTTGCAAACTGCACTGTAAAAAAGCAATGGGACGATAGGGGGAGGTTTCATGCCCAAGTCCTGGTTTGGGGAAAAGGGAGAACAATGGCGGTTTTCCACACCCGGGGAAGAACCCCTTTGTGACCAAATAAGTTTTAAAAAGGGGCGTAATGGGAAACTGAAAAGGGCGACTGATGTAAATGTTTAGCATACGAATAAAAATGTCGTGGGGGGCCCAAAACCAGCCCAAAGACGACAACCCGAAGTGTTGCCTCCATTTCTTGAAGGGGAAAAAGGCACTTTAATACTGTTTTTCCCCCTGAGAGAAAAAAAGCCCAAAGGTGTTTAAACTCTCTGGAAACCCCTTTGAGGAAAGAAATAGGGCATGGGTGGAGTCCCTGAGAAATAGGGACCAATTTTCCCCAATTTCTTTGGAAACATTAGTGGGTTTGCAATATCAACCCCCGGGCAACCCCGCAGAACAGGGCCGGGGTCGGGAGAATATTTACCACTCTTTTTCGTACTTTTTTTCCAACTGCACTCATAAGGAAGCAGGGGTTAAGGTGGAGCCCATAATCTCGCCGCAATGCGTTTAGCTCACGGAAAACACGGCGAGTGATCGCACGCTTCGTTTAAAATCAAGGAGTCGTCTTGGTTCAATTGAAACCATACCCCCCCTGCGGGCGCGTTTCAAACGTACTGAAACGAGCCCCAAGCGGGAAAACCACCAAGGCACGCATTTCTGAAATCCCGGGCCCGAATTTTGGGGGTATAAATAGAAGGGGCGGTGAAAAGGGAAAGGACGAAAGGGGTTTTAAAAGCTCATCATGGAGGACGAAAAGGAACCTTTTTAAAAAACAGTCGGTGTGAGAAAGGGTTTCCCAAAATTTGCCCAAATTAAAATTTGCCAGGGGTGGGGGCGAAGAGGTGGCGAAAAAAAAAAGGGGAAGAAAGAACGTTTGGGGAAAGGGGATACTGTCATGAAAGCCCGGGGAGTCAGCCAAAATTTAAAAGTCTAATGCGGGGGGAAGAAAAAACTGAGAGATCGATGCAAGAAGAGTATGGGGTCCGGGGATAAAATGGGTTGAGAACCTTTATTTAAAAAAAGGAGGGGGTGGGGGCAAAAAAAAGCCTCTAACTAAATTTCCACGGGAATCACATTTGGAGACCCCCCCCCAAAAGGGGAAAAGGGTTTGGGAAATTAAAATCCCCAAAGTAACGAATGGGCGGGGGTTAAGACGAAACAAGGGAAGGGGCAAAATCCGGAATAGATAATCCCGAGAAGGAGAGAATATAAAGAACAAGAGCGTATACCACCTATGAAAGGGGATAGGGGCCTGCTGTGTAAGGGCAGCGAAGTATAATAAATACTGATGGAAACGGAATACAGGGGCGGAAGAAGAAGGGCCCTTTCAAAAAGGCCCCAAATCGGGAAAAAGGATCTGAAAAACAAAAAATTTTATAGCCTGAGATGTAGAAATAACAGCAGGGGTGAAATTTTGGGTTTCCAAAAGCAAAAAACCAACGGGGGAAAAAAACTGGGAGGGGTAAAAATCTGAAGCTCACCCCCGTTTACCCCTGAGGCCGCGAAAATTTTCCCAAAGAAAAAAGGGCCATGTTTGGAAAGGGGAAAAGATACTTGAAATCCGCAGGAAAAGGGCCTACGGACTAAAAGGGGGTTAGAAAAGTCCACCATGCGGAGGCAGTGAAAATGTTAAAGGGCAGCAAAGGAACGGGGGCGCGGGGTGAAAAAGGATTTTGCGCAGAGGGGCAGAGGAGAGAGAAAGAGCAAAAAGGGGGATAAATTGCCCAAATTAAAGGTCCTGGCCCTTCTCCCAATATATTAAAAGGATTGCTTCAAGTTTTTGGGAATTCAGATATGTCTTTATGGGAGACAAAAGGGGAATTTGGTGGGGGGAGGTGATAAAGTTTGGAACTGTTTTGGACTGTCCCAAAGGAGGGGGGGGGGGGCCAAAAGGGGGGGGGGGAAACCGGGAAGCGGGGGCCGGGGACAGAAGAGACGGGAAAATTTGGGAAAAGGAGGGGGCCCAAAAAAGGGGAAGAAATTTTGGAAAAAGGGAACGGGGGATGAAGGTACTTTTAAGGAGGAGGGGGGCCTTTTGGCACTTGTAACTGCCATGAGAGGGGAAAAAACTGGGGACAAAAACATGGGGGGTAAAATGAGGGGGGTGGAAGATGGGTAGGAGGTTTTAAACCGGGCCCCTTTTTTTTTGTTTTTTTGGAGAAAAAGGGGGACGTTTGGGGAAGGGAGGTGTCGAAAGAGGTCCCGTCGATACTGGGGTTTTTTAAAGAGAGAACTCGAAGAAGCAAAATTTAAACCCCTGAGGCGTTGAAAGGGACGTTGACCATGACAGAAAAAAGGAAATTAATACAGGGTGTTTAAATGGGAGGGAACCACAGAGGGGGGTGTAAAAAAGAGGGGATACCAGAAGGGGGGGCCCGTTTTGAAAAAAGGGGAATAAAAACACGGGGGAGTCCCCCTTTGGGAGGCGGAGATGGGGAAACCCTGCCATGGCAAAAGGGAACCTTCTGTCTCTTTGAGGTAACGGTTTTTCCCGCCGTTTAAAAAACCCTTTACAAGGGCGAGAGTACAAAGGGGACCCCAAATAAACGTTAAGGCAAGAGGGGGGTTCGTTTTTAAAAGCGTATTAGAAGGGTCATCGGCCCCACAGACTGGGCATTCGGCGATAGTTTCGGCAATATTTCCTGGAGGGGCCAAATCGCCAAAAATTTCCCTACACAGTTGTGGTGTAGGGATCACCTTTCGAATTTTAAAACCGTGTCCTCAATATAAACGGAGGATGGGAGTTCTCGGCTGAAAAATTTTAAACGGGGCCCTTTGTTTGGGGAAAAACCGTCCCCGCCCAGGGGCCCGGGAAAAAACTAAGTGCCCTCCCTTGAGGATTGGGAACTTGGAGTTCCAGCTGTTCTAGAATGCCCGGTGCCACATGTCGGAAAATTTTTTTGGTTGAAAAATGGATGGGGCAGAATAACGGTCCCACAACAAAAATTTGGGGGAAAATGAATTTTTTTTCAAGGGGGACAGGAACAGTATCTATAGGGGAAAGACGAGAAGCTCACGAGCCTGGGTAGCATTCTGAACGGTAAAATTGCGCGTACCGCTCTTAAGACAGAAAAAAAAAATTTTTAAACCAACCGGGCGTGGGAAATTTCCCTTGCCAATACAAGGTCAAAAAAGATGGGCAGTAAGGAAGTTGGTCGAAAAGGGGAAAAATTTAGTCCACTTTTCAGCCCTGAAACTGAGCGTGGAAAGGTAGTGAAGGACGTGTCGATCGTTTCTGAGAAAACGAGAAGGGAAGGTGGAGAAGTATCATCAGCAGGTAAATTTTCGTTGACGTTAAGGGGGTTTGGGGCCAGATTTGGTCCGACGGGAACGGGTCGGCGATTTTTAAAATTTTCCGCACCGTAAGGGGGAAGGGGCCGAAGCCTAGTCAGAGGGGGAGCGAAGGTCTGAATTAAAACGAAGGAGTCAGTCGGGCCCATACCCGAAGCGGGGGAGGGAAAAAGCACCGGGAAATAGACAAGGCAAGGGAAAATCTGAAGAGTGGGCCCCCCCAAAAACGAGGCGGGGTCAAACGGGGGGCGGTATCAAAAAGGGGCCCGGGGGGACCAGGTTCATGGACTAGGGCGCCATGGTTTTACTTTTTTTCTTTTTTTTTTTTAAAAAAAAAAAAAGAAAGAAGAAAAGAAAATAAAAAAAAAAAAAAAAAAAAAAAGGGGGAAAAGGGGGGGGAAAGTTCCCAAAGGGGGAATGAAAGGGCCGAAATCCCCCCTCCGCGCCCAAGGGACTCGACACCCTAGTAGCGCAGAGCAGCATGGAAAACCCCTGCCATACCCTAAACCCTTTATGCTATAAACCACAATCTGGGATAAAACAACCTCACATCTGCCGAGCTAACCCTCGGTGGGGCAAAAGGGAGGGCGGGGCCGGGGTATCCGCCCCCCAAAACAAACCTCCTTTAGCCACCCCCCCCGGAAAACCGAAAGGTGGGGTTCCAAAAATACCCCGCGCCCCAAAAAAAACACCCAAAAGCTACTCCGGGGTTTCCGGAGAAAGGGAAACGGGGCATCCCTAGGGGAATCCAGATTCCACGGCAAAAATAAAAGCCACCGCCAAGAAACCCCAACCCAAAAGGGGTGGACCCCCGGGGGTCCTTTCCCCTACCAAGGGAAATAGCGCCCCCTGTGGGAGAAATCAAAGAAGGCTAAAAAAAAGGAAAAGGGGAAAAAGGAGGGTGAGGAGGGGGAGGGGAATGGGAAAAAAAGGGGGGGGTGGGGGGGATGGGATAAAGGGAAAGGGGGGAATTGGGGGGGGAATTTTGGTTCCCCGGGCTGAGGAAGAAACCACAGGGCTAATTCCTCCGACCCAAAAGCCCCTTCAAACCCCGCCAAGGAGCCCCCCTTTTTGAGGGGAGGCGAGAAAAGCCTCCAACTGAATCCCCCGCGAGTCACAAAAGAACCCCCCCCCCCGAGGAAATGGTTTGGGGATTTTAAAACACCAATTTAAAAGGGAAATTGGGGGTGGTAAGGGTGAAAAAAAAAAAAGAAAGGCAAAATCTGGGGGAAAAAAAAGAAAATGCCCGAGAAGGAAGAGATATAAAGAACATATTGTAAACCACTTTTTCAAGTGGATACAGGCTGCAGTGTAAAGGGAGCGAGGGATGGACATTTTTAAAAAAATTTTAAAAACAAAAAGAAGCGCTAAGGCCCCCGGGTTAAAAACAGCGCTGCAGGGTAGGGAAGGAAGCAAGGGAATTTGGGTGGCAGAAGGGAGGGGGGGTGATCCCGCGTTAAAAGAAAAAAGCGGGGCCAAAGGGGGTAGACGGGGGGAGAGGGTACAAAGAAACAAGTAGAAAGGGGTTTAAAATATCAGAAATTTTTGAAATAAGTCAGGATCCCTTGTCAAAAAAATCCAAAGAAGAGTCCGGAAGAAAGGTGGGTTTCCTTTACGAGAAAGGGAAGGGAAAGAGAGAGCAGCGGGGGGCGACTACACGAGGTAAATTCTGGGGTCCGTTGATAAAGGGGGGCAGTCCAACCCAAAAGTGGCGACTGATAAGGAAACTTGGCAAAAATTCCCACAGAAGGAGCAAGACCCCTCCAAAGATATAAGATAAGACGAGTAAAGGCCCAAAAGCGAAAACGGGAGAGAGTAGTCTCCCAACCTCGACACTGGTGAAAAAGGGAAAACGGCCAGTAAAACCCATACTCGGTTTAATAGACTGAATTTGTTGCCGAGGATAGTAGACCAACGTTGTTGCCAACGGGGGTGAAGGGGGGAAGAATTACAGCAAAATATCCCAACATGGGAAAAACCTCTATAAAAACGGTAGGTCATGTAAATGCGACCCGGGCCCGCAGTGTCTGCCTGTTTTATTGGGCCCCGTACGCAAAATGACCAGGGGCCCCCAACCCAAAAAAAAAATCTTTATGCTTTAAAGATCGGGGGTAGGGCCCAAAATTGGAACGGGGCCCAAGGGGTGAGGTGTAAACAAAAATTTTTTTATAGGCCCGTAAAGCACTAAGGGAAAATCTGAGACAACCACAAATATGCACCGGCATAAAAAGGGAATACGGAAAAGTGCTGTAAAGGGTGGCAAAATAATTCAGCCCCCTAAAAATACTAGCTGAAGATAGTAAAAAAGCCCTTGTACGACGCTTCCAAAAAACCCGCTGCGAATCCCCCACGCCGTCCCGAAGACTTAGAGCCCCCTGTGTACACAGCAATGGGAGAGATGAAGGAAAAATGGTCAAGAAAAAAAGAGCGGGAACGACCGAGAAAGTTTTGGGTTTTTGACAAGGGGGGGAGAAAGAAAAGACCCGAACAGCTGGGAAAATTCCCAGGGGGTAGGGAAAAGTGAGATGCTACATTTTACAAAGAAAGGTGGTAGTTGAAGAGAAGGGCAAGAGCCCAATGAAGGGGAAGAGAGAAGGGGCCCGGGGTAAAACAGGGGGGGCGAACAAATAAAGAAAGTCTACTAATATCAATGACCATTCTATAAAAAAGGGAAAGGAAAAACGGAATCAAGAGAGCGTACAAGTAGCGCAGGGAAATGGGCATCACGGCGATCGGATAAGGATGGGAAAGTTCCCCTTCTTTCATAAGGGTTTTCCCACGGGGAAGAGCGAAAAACACCAAGGAAAAAAATTTAAACCCTTTTTTTTGAAAAGGGGTTTTAAGGGTAAGAGAGTAACAAAGGGGATGCCCCCCTGAATAGATCTGGCCACCATAATCAAGTTTCGATAAAAAAAGGGTGGGAAGTAGGTGAAGGGGGTTTGACGGAAACAGCTTTCCCCCCGAAAAAATGACAAGGGGTTTTTTAAAAAGGGTTTAGCCGGGTGTGACAAGTTTTCCTTTAAGAGGTAATGGAGGTTTCCCGGTAACCTACGATCAAAGAGGAGGCCCAAAACTTGACTGTATCACCCTTCAGGGATTCGGGGAAACCATAAGGTACAAAAGGGTGAACAGAGATGAAAAAGCGCCCAGTGAAAGTGATTTTTTGGGGTTTTTTGGGGCTGGAAAATTTAAAAACCCCTTTGTGTGGCCCAAATTTGGGAAAAATGGTCGGGCTGCATGCTGGAGAGAAACGTAAAGGGGGGGACATCAGCGCCTGCACAGGCCCAAAAGCGAAGTCATCAACCATAGAGTGATGACCAAATATTTGATGGAAGACTAAAAGGGCCCAAAAACATTAAAAGCAAGGAGAAAAAAATGTTGTGCTCAGAAAAACAACCCTGGGGGACAAACCTTCAACTTTGGGCAAAGTCCGGGGAAGCACATTATTAACCCGAACACGGAAAAAAGTCTGGCAGTTAAAAAGTTCTTTGGAAAGGGGGGAGATTGCCCGAAAAGGGCCCAAGGAGTGGGTTGGGCTAAAAATTATACCTCCAAGTTGTTCATAAAGCCTTCTTTAAGGTCAAAAAATATGGCAATTAAAATGAGTGGTTTTTTCCAAAGGCCCTTACGAACATACGTAACCCCAAACGCAGTAAGGGGTCAAAGGTAAACGTCCCTTTCGAAAACCATATTGCCCGGGGGAGAGACTGTTTTTTTTTTTTCTCTAAATACCACCCTAAACTCTATTTAAATAGACTTTCCATTACTTTTTCAAACTGCATGGTAAGAGCAATGGGACATAGTGGGGTTTCATGTCCCGTATTTCCTGGTTTTCGGAAAGGGGAAAACAATGGCGGAATTTTCCCCAGCTGTGGGAAAAACTCCTTTTGGGCCAAAAAAGATTGTAAAAGGCGTAATAGGACTGCATGGGCTGACTGATGTAAATGTTGTTCATACAATATGAATGGGCGGCGGGCCCACTGCCCATATCCCACAAGCTGAGGTGTTGCCTCCCTTTCCCTTTAAGTGTAAAAGCAAAAATTATAACGTTCTTCTCTGAGAGAAAGAAAAGTCCAAAGGGGGGCTAACTCCCCTGGGAGACCTTTTTAGGAAAGAAATGAAAAGGGGGAAAGATGGAGTCCCCGAGAAATACGGATCCCTGATTCCAATTTTTATTGGCAACATCTAGTGGGTTTAATATAACAACACCGGGAACCCGCAGAACAGGAGCCGGGTTTAAAGGGAATATTTTCAATTCAGTTTTTCGTACTTTTTTCCCCGAAATGGGACCAAAGGGAAACAGAGGTGATTTTGGAACTTAAAACTCCCCCAGCAAGTGGGGTTTTTGCGTCCCGGGGACCGGGGAGCGATCGCACGGGTTCTGTTTAAAAACAAGGAGTCCCCTCTTGGGTTTCCCATTTTACCGGTACCCCCCCCATGCAGCCCCGTTTCAAACGTAACCCGGGGCCAACCACCCAATCAGGGGGAACCCCCAAGGGGAAACCCTTTTTTTGAGAATGCCTGCCCGAAAATTTTGGGGGATAGAATGAAAGCTGGGGGTGAAAACGGAGGACAGAAAGGTGAAAAAACCCCACGATGGAGGACGAAGAAGGAACCCCTTTAAAAAAAAGTCAGGTGTGAGTAAAGGTTTTCCCAAATTTCCCGATTAAATTGCCAGCGTGGGGTTTTTCGAAGAGGTGGCGAATAGAAGGGGAAATAAGGGAAAATTTTGGGGAAAAGA